TTGGCATCTCAGCAGTAGAAAGAACATTAAAACCAGCCCTTTTAAAGAGCTCTTACTAGTTTCCCATGTCTCTGTATTGAGAAGACTTTCTCTTTGATTGCAGCATTTATTGGCTTTCAGCATAATAATATAAAGTGGAGTGGAACATTTTCCTTTTTTCCTATATGCCTACAGCATTTCATAGTGTGTGGTTAAAACTATTACAAAATATTGTGAAAGGTTGAGTTTTTCTAGGTAGTGTGCTGCTTTTTATCTTTAGAATGCCTATCTGCAGTTGTTAATAATACCTTTTAGTCATTCATTCAATTTCATACTAGGATTGCATTTTGTAAAAATTAATACATTGATTTTTTTTTTTTTTTTTGCTTAAGTAGTTAATGTTTCCTATTTCTCCCAAATCGGAGAAGCTGATATTAGTCAAATTTCCCACAGCCTCAAGGATAAAGTAAATGGGAAATCCCAATCTCTGTATGTGTTAGTGTGTGTGTGTGTGTGTGTGTGTGTGTGTGTGTGTGTGTGTGAGAGGAGAGAGAGGGAGAAAGGAATCTGTAGTTCAACAGATTCTTTGAAAGTATGCTTACGTAAAATCAAACAGCTCTCTGAATGAAAGTGGAATTAATTTTTTTTAACCATCTGTTTGTTTTCTTCCAAATAGCTATATATGTGACCTGGCATTTATGCTGAATTCCTCTGCAGGAATTTGTGATCTAAGCTCAACAATCACTGAGTACCTACTGTTTATAAGATTTTCTGAGAACACCAGGATGAGTAAGATGTCACCTTTGGTCTTGAGAGGCTTATAGTCTACCGCTAGAGATGGACAAGTACATAACTAAATGAAACATAAAGCAAAAAGCAAGATGATCCTATAAGAGTTTTAAACAAAGTACAGGGAAAAACAGAATGGGAACTTAATAGAATCTTGAGAAGGCTTCACTGATGACATAGGACAGTGTTTGAAACTTTAAATGAGAATAGCTCAGTTTTCTTAAAATCATCTCTTTTTGTAGGTAAGAAAAAAATCATGATTTCCTTTAATGTTATTGAGATTTCAAAATAATTGCTTTCTATGATTACTTACTATAATTTATTGCCTACTATAATTTATTACCAAATAAATTACTTGAATGCTCTTACCAACTGTATAAGTCCCTCCAGCCTTGAGCTACTGTTTGAGGTAATATACTCTTTTTTTCCAAGAAAAGAATTTTATTTAAAATAACAATGAGTTTTTAAGGTATCTTTTTGTGGGGGCAACTGAGAACTAGACAAATACACTAGGTACTTTCTGAATGTTTTTTTTCCCAGAATTTGTATTTATATCTTTTGAGTCGATACGATGTTTTCATAGTCTCAATAATTTTTAAAATTATCTACTTTAAATATCTGCCTAAATTGCCTGCGCAGATTTTTAATTGCTTGCTTACTTGCTTGGTTTATAACCAAGCCTTTTGGGCTACCACTTTTTATCATCCAGTAAATAAATACAAAATAATTCTCTCTAGGAACATCTCAATACCAGAAATTATGTTTTAAAAACTTTGTGGAGTAATGGCTTAGAATATCCCCCATTTTGGATTACCTGTTTTATTTTAGGGGCTATCACAGGCTGTAGTAGTCCTTAAAATGTATCATAAAACACTGCTGTACACCTTCTAAATAGGATGTGCTTTTTGCCAGAAATACAACCCTTACAAAATGACAGGTAATACAAACAGTATATTAAAGTGAAATAGTGGTGTGTAGTAAAATTATCAAAATGTTACCTAATGCTTGCCTTGAAGCTTTGAAAGCCAGAGGAAACTCAACTCTTTGATTGTCTTTCCTCTGGTAGGTCCCTCCTTTGTTCTCAGGACTCCAAACTCAAACAAATGCTACAAGTTCTAACAACCTTATGGATTAAACAGCCGTTATTGAGATAGCCTGGGAACCTGACCACCATTTTAACAGTATTTCCTTGGCCAATTTCTCTCTGCCTTCCACACAAGTGATTTAAAGTTGAATTTAGGAATTGCATTTCTTGGGGACACTAAATCTTTTGTTTATATTTCCTATCTCCCCTTCCCCCAGAGTTCCTACCACAGTCCTCTTATGACAGCAAGATCTCACAAATGCTTAACTGAGTGATTGCGATGACGTTTTTCCCCCATGAGTAGTTTAGATCTATAACTAGCAATCAATATATTTTTAAGTAATTGATATATAATATTACGTATAAAGTAAAATGAAATCCTAAAACAATGTATTTGTGTCTTATATTTTTAAAAATCTTAGTAAATTGAGGGGGAAATCTGCTTAAACAATGATTTTTTGTGTTATTTTATTCTAAGATGGTTGCAACAATGCATTACTTAGGAAAAGAATGATATTTGTTGCTTATGCATTTACATGTTTTCCAATAAAATAGAGCTAATGTACTCAATGTGTACACACACACACACACATACATATATATGTTTTGCAAGATGGTTATAGAAAAAAACACAACTGTGATTATTTTTGATTTATTGACCAGTTTAGTTTGTGGTGGCTGCCATCTGCATTTTCATGTGAGGATACCATTTTGTGACTGTGAAGACACAAATTATTCCCAGTGGGCTGGTGACTTCATTTAGCCTCTAGCGGCTTTTGTTGTATTGTTGGTACATCTGGAGACCCATTATCTCCCACCAACACCCCCCTCTGCATCAGCCTGTTAAGTAATAACAACCTTTCTCACCCTGAAACAATAAAGTATCAGATGATTGCAGCCTCAGAAACAAAAGATTCCCACTCCCTTTCAGAGCAGATCAGAGTCTGATTCCCCACCCACCCTGGTGAGCCAGCACTCCAGAATATCTACTTTAGGCCTTTCTTTGTTAATACAGGATCATAAAAGGGTCTTTGTTGTACTCTTTCATTTGTTCCAGCGGGATGTCACCATTATTTTGGTCTGCTGCTAGGCACATGCAGCAATCCCCTCAATAGCACCTTGAATGGTGTTGTTTTTCCTTTGTTATGAAGCTTAAGCTTCATCTAAATAATTACTTTTGTTTAGAAATCAAACCCCACAAACCAAGTGGTTTTGACAGACACACTGACTCTGAGAGCTTTCTTTGCTCCGTGTAAAATCAGCATCAATTCCTGATTAGATTTCCTTTCTGTTCCCATTAATTTCCGGGTCGTTTGGGTCCTGGGAATGCTTATTTGTGGCTTCTCTAATGACCATTTTGTGTTCAATGGGTTTGCTGATAGTTTAGAACAATTTAGACGTACCCTTGTGACTAGGATCGAATGGTCTGGCAGAAGATGAAGGGGATTAATTGTAAGGGTATTGAACGAAGTCAGGTGACCCTGAGATGCTCTAGTTGTTAAGGAAGGGATGTAATGGAAGAGGTTAAACACCATGTTTCTGAAGCCATTGAGCACATCTTATTTATCCACAGTCATTGCAATAAGAACATTATGTGGTATAGCTAGTTTCCTTCTCCCGTCCTTCCTCCTTCTTTCCTTTTTTCCTTCTTTCCTTCCTTTCTCTTGGCAAATTAACGAAGTTTCATTCAAAACTTATTCTTTCACTCAAAAACTTGTAAGTGCTCGCTATAAAGAACATAAAAATTGAAAAAGGACTTCCCTTTCTTATGTGTCCACTTCTTTAGATAAAAAAGAATCATGTATATTCTAGCAAACTTCTGCATGAAGAATTCCTGAGAAGATTAATATGCCCTTTCAGACTCAGCACAGTTCTAGTTATACCCTTTGAAGTTGTTGCCTCTCAATTGTTTGAGAAGACACAGTGATGTATGTTAAAAGCCTGAATTTTAGAGTCAAAATACCTGGGTTTAAGTCCTGGTTCTCCTCCGTATTAACTGTGTAACCTTTGGGGAAGTTAATTAACCTTTCTAGTTTTTCTCATGTTTAAAATTGGGGTAATGGCACTTACTCATAGATTTGTTTTATTAAATATGTTAAATGAGTTAATACACGTTAAGGTGGTTAGAACAGTGCCTGACACTAAGTGTGTTAGCTAATTTTTTTATCATAATATTTGAATGTCTACTGTTTTTTAAACAAAATTCGAGGATTTAAAGAGGTAAAATAGATGTAAGACTTTCTCACTAAAGGAATTCAGAGTCTATAGTTAAGTGATAACACAGATAGAATTACTTAATTGCTTGACCACAAGATGAATCTAGTGGGGGGAATTAAACACCCAAACATGAATACCTATCTGTTGGAACTTTTTAGGGCTAGCTTGTGGTCCTCACATATGACAGACACATAGACTTGTAACTTCCATTTGAAGAGCTTAGGATAATGATATTCAAAGTGTGATCACCTGCTTCAGGGTCATCAATATATATTTTTTAAAAATGTAAACTTCAGGGTCCTCCTTGCGTCAACTGAGCCAGAATTACAGGGGCAAAGAGCCTGGGAATCTACATTTTTGATATGCTTCCCTGGTGATTCTTACACACACTGAGAATTGAGAACAGTTGGTATAGAACAGTGGCTCGCAACCTAGATGCTCATTAGAATCTCTTGGGAAGCATTTGAAAGATACAGTTAGTTGGATCCCAGGTGCAGCAATCCTAAATTAATTGTTTTGGGGTGCAGCACTGGGCATTTGTGTTAGTAGGTGATTGTAATTTGTAGCCAGGGTTGAGAAGCAGTGGCATTCGAACACAATTAATGAGAGTGATTGTTGACTTAGTTCATTGTATCAGGGATGTAAGTTGACTTGATATTTTCAAAAAGTCATTCTGGTGGTTACCAGGGGCTGGGGGAAATGGGGAATTACTTAATGGTTATAGAGTTTCTGTTTGGGATGGTGAAAAAGTTCTGGAAGTTGGTAGTGGTGATGGTCGCACAATTTTGTGAAAATATTTAATGCCACTGAACTGTATCCTTACAAGAGTTAAAATGGTAAGTTTTATGTTATAGATTTACTGCATTAAAAAGTACTTAAAAAAGCCATTTACAATTCACATGTTCTGAACCTTAATTTTTTTTCTTTTCAGAGTGACAGCGTATCATGTATGCCACTGATTCCAGGGGACACTCCCCTGCTTTCCTCCAACCTCAGAATGGAAACAGCCATCGCTCATCTGGTTATGTTCCAGGGAAGGTTGTCCCACTGCGTCCCCCTCCTCCTCCAAAGAGCCAAGCTTCAGCCAAATTTACCTCCATCCAACAAGACGCCCGGGCAACCTTTGCCTTCTCACCTGAAGAACAGCAAACCCAGAGAGAAGGCCGAAAGCAGAAGAGACACAAAAATACTTTCATTTGCTTTGCTATTACTAGTTTCTCATTTTTTATTGCACTTGCAGTCATTTTAGGAATATCTTCAAAATATGCTCCAGATGGTAAGTGTGTCTGTGTGCACACATAGAACATATTCTAGAAGAAGAGGAAATAGAATAATTTTTTAAAAACTTTCATTATGTTAAGTTGGCTCTAGCTAACTAATGCACAGGTAATATGATGTGTAACTTATGAATGAGAGCAGTTGTTCAAGGACTGCACTGGAAATCAAAAAATTAAATGATTGCTTTTTCTATCCATTTTGTCACTTTGTGCTTAAACAGTTTTTGGAGCATCTCTTTTGGAAATGCCTATGATAGGCAAAAGGATTTGATGATTTGTTTGAAATCCTGGTTGCTAAATACATGTTTAAAAAAACTTTCAAGTTTTAGAATGAGATATATATAGATATTAAAAAGAAATCTTCATTTCTCTCTGAAATGACATTTAGATGCCTCCTTAGATGAATGTAATAGTTAAGAAGCATATTACCATTTATAAGACTTACAAATATTATTTTGTTTAGTTTTTATGGGTGCTTTAGGGATTTTATAGATTTTAAGGTCCTGGGGAAGTAGTTTCAATACTTCTAAGAGAACAGAACTGAAGTAAGAGAGATGTTCATATCAATATCTTTATTGAATGAGCTAATAGACCACATTATGAACTTATAACATTGATTTCTATTATATGCAGTATTGACATCCTCTTTCCTTTTCCCAGCAGAGTAACCAAGTTTATTGCTGCTGATTCATACTTCCTGACTAATCTACAGAAAAGGAATGCTAGACTAGTGGGAAATCAGAGCTGCAGATCTGTGGCTTTCACTGGTGTTTTTGTATTCCATTGAATTGCTGATGTGGTTCCTTGAATCAACATTCTTTAGTTTTACATTTTGGCAGTATAAGTGCAGATCATCAGTGGAAAGATCTGGTATGCTGAAATATTTCAGGGTCAGCCTCACTGTGGTTGTTGCTATTACATAACGTTGATAATGCACTCACTGCTCTACAAGTGGGTAACTAGGAAGTTGTGGCTGGCTGAGCTGTTTTTCAGTGCTTTGTACAGACCACACATTTTCTCATTAAGTATATTTTACTGGTAGCAAACAGACTGGAATTTTTGGTGAAGGTTCTAATGAAGCATGCTGTCCTGGGGAATAATTATAAACAATTAAGAGGAATTATATAACTATTGAAGTAGGCTCCAGATCTCAAAAGATTGGATTTCCTTCTCTGTAGCTGGGTACAATCTTTGTAATAACACTATGGAGAATTCCAGCTAGATGTTTTATGGGAAGAGGGAGGTGGAAAAAAAGTTCAAGAAATCCTCAGTATTAAGTCAGAACCAATCCAAGAGATTTCTTATTTCTTTGATGGCAAGGAAAGTTTAAAGATTGTTTTTAGTATAATGGTGATGGTCATTAATTTATCAGAAGAATTAAATACCAATGATTATGAAACTGCTGTGAGAAAATTTAATTCCATGAAATAATTGCCAAGGACTTAACCAGCCAGACTAATTTTAACTGTTGTTACTGTCACCTCAAAGAGAAAGCATATGCCTGGGGCAATATAATAAGCTTAGAAACAGGAAGATGTTTGCATTAGTATTATGCAAGTTCAAAATGACGAATCAGAATTTTTTTCTACATAAAATGATCTCTTTGTTCTGTACCCAGTCTCTACTTTTTCTCATATTATGTACCGTCCACCTTAACAAAAAGAATTTCTTCATGTAGTTCACAAGCATATCTTGTCTATTCCTACCTTTGCTTAACTGTAGGTGACAGATACCTTGCTTTTCTAACTAAGCAACCAAATGGACTTGGATAGCATTGGATACTCTCGTTGCTAGTGTTTTCTCCCCCTCATGCTCCTCTTATATAAATATTCTCCATAATTTGGGGTCCAGGTCTAGTGTCACCTATTCCATGAAGCTGCCTCAGTTATTCCAGCCTATTCCTCCTTTGCCTGAGGTTGTTTGTTCCTGAATTACTACCACATTGTTCAGCATTTTATTGTTACGTACATGGTAGCTTTTCCTCCCAAGCTCAATTATAAACTCTTAAGAAATGTGAATTCCTTCCATGCTTTTTAAATATTATGGTATCTGGTATAGAGTGAACAAATTGATGCCCAACAAAGACTTAGTCTTAGTTGATCAAAATTGAAGGTGTGATTTTTATTTTTCCCCTCTTCTTCCAAATTATGGCAGATACTGAAAGTTTCATGCATTAAATACTTTTATGCAAAATACTTTTATGTTTTCATTATCACCTATTCAAGAGGCAAGTTCTAATTCTAGTAAAGGTAAAAAAATAAAATCAAAACTCATTTCTGAGGCCGGGTGCGGTGGCTCACGCCTGTAATCCTAGCTCTCTGGGAGGCCGAGGTGGGTGGATTGTTTGAGCTCAGGAGTTCGAAACTAGCCTGAGCAAGAGCGAGACCCCGTCTCTACTAAAAATAGAAAGAAATTAATCAGACAACTAAAAATACATAGAAAAAAAAATTAGCTGGGCATGGTGGCGCATGCCTGTAGTCCCAGCTACTCGGGAGGCTGAGGCAGGAGGATCGCTTGAGCCCAGGAGTTTGAGGTTGCTGTGAGCTAGGCTGACGCCACAGCACTCTAGCCAGGGCAACACACTGAGACTCTGTCTCAAAAACAAACAAACAAAAAAAAAAACTCATTTCTGAAAGGGGGAACTTCCATATCACTCGGTTTGCTAAGTGATCTTTGGCTTCTCTAACCTATAATTTCCTCATCTCTGAAAATGAGAAGTCATGTCTTTGGTCACTTGCTTCTTGCAGTTTCATCAAAAGGTGTACATGGCTGAAGACAGTAATATTTCTCAGCCTCTGCCCTGGAAAGAGGTGCTATTGTCACCTACTTTGTGATTCACTGTGCATAGGAAGGAATTTATGAAGACCAAGTAGACATATTATTTGTCAGTTTCCATTTTTGATTTACTAGTATGTTGTGAACATATTTTCTTTCCTAAAACAGCTTTCTAGTGTTAGTCCCAGGACAATTTAAAGTTTTTTTCTCTTACTATTGGTTTATTTCCAGAGTAGTTGATTCAGGTGAACTCCATTTTTACCTTGTGAAGTTTCACCTGAAGTAGATGCTAGCAACTTATTTTGTGGTGACACTTTATTTTTTAATGAGTTGAAAAATTAAAGGATATGACGTTCTCTGCTTGGTGAGAAGAAGTGGGATTTCTATCTTAATGGCAGGAAATCAAAATATGTTGGCACATTTCTTACAGATCTGCATTAAATGATGCTTGGATTTGGCTAATGGTATTCTTGCATTTTGTTGGGTTGGATGGGATACCCATGTTGTATGTTTCTTTTTTATAGAGAATTGCCCAGATCAAAATCCACGTCTCAGGAACTGGGATCCAGGCCAAGATTCTGCAAAACAAGTTATTATCAAGGAGGGAGATATGTTCCGTCTGACCTCAGATGTCACACTAAATTCTATAATCATTCAGGATGGAGGTAGGTAATGGTCTCTACCTATGGGAACTGCAAAGTTGCTCTATAATGTGGAATAGATTTAATGTTTCTCAGGTAGAAAACTATTCTTACATGGAATAGCCTTTAGGATGTGGTGTCACTCTAGCCATGGAGTTGTAAAAAGTTCCTAAGGTAGAACCATAGAACTCAAGAGCTGTAAGGATCTTAGACATCACTCAAATCAAGACCCTTGATTTATAGACAAGGACGTAGTTCCAGAAAAGTGATCTCTTGGAGCTAAATCTTCATTACAAGTGATGGAGAGTAAAGAGAGAGGTAAGTTGAGTTGTATATATAGAAGTGAGATTCAGATTTGTAGACTCTTTGTTATTTTTCTAGAAATGGTTTACCTCTAAAGTGAACGTATTAAATTCATACTCATGGTCTATACAAACACTTCATTTTTCCCTTTACTATGTTTTGAAAACCAGTTTAATTTTCTAAGCAAACTCATAGTAAATTCTTATTTCCAATTTAATTGCGGAAGTGTATTTTTCCCCCCTTAAGGTGGAATCTATTTCTTTGTATATCAGAAAGATATTTTAGATGTTGGCTTACAGTACTGTTGTTCCCTGCAGGACTGCTTGTATTTGGGGACGATAAAGATGGATCCAGAAATATTACTTTAAGGACTCGTTACATCCTTATCCAGGATGGTGGGGCGCTTCATATTGGAGCAGAAAAATGCCGCTATAAATCCAAAGCGACAATTGCCTTGTATGGCAAGTCAGATGAAGGTGAAAGTATGCCAACATTTGGCAAAAAGTTTATTGGTGTGGAAGCTGGCGGGACACTGGAGTTACACGGGGCACGGACGACATCGTGGACGTTGCTGGCGAGGACCCTGCATTCCTCAGGCTTGCCCTTTGGGTCCTACACCTTTGAAAAGAACTTTTCCCGGGGCCTCAATGTGAGGGTCATTGACCAAGACACGGCCAAAATTTTGGAAAGTGACAGGTTTGATACCCACGAATACCACAATGAGAGTCGGCGGCTTCAGGAATTTCTGAGATTGCAGGACCCAGGTCGGATTGTTGCCATAGCTGTCGGAGATTCAGCAGCCAAAAGCCTCTTACAGGGAACGATCGAGATGATTCAGGACCGATTGGGAAGTAAACTGATCCAAGGACTGGGCTACAGGTAGGCAAACTTTGTTCTTTTCTTCCTGGTTCCGTGTTCGAGTCTGTCTGGATGAGAGCAGAGTGAGGGTGGGGAAAGGAACCACAACACACCACAGCCTGAACTCAGGTGTCAGAATGGCTGCCACCGTTTGGAGCAAAGGCAGCTCTGAAACGTGGGACTAGGGGACAGAACATGGGATACAAAAGCTCTTCTCTTGGCTTTGGATTAGAAAGGCCTTTCTGAACTGCATTGTCAGGCTTGTGAAAAGTTCAGAACAGAAAGGTGGTACTGAAAAACAATCAGGCGGTTGAAGGACAATTTGCCTCTGAGGCTACTTCCTCCTTTTACCACCTTCTGAACATAATATGAAACTCAGGCTAATTGGAGCAACTTATGAGTTGAAAGATTAGGGCACAATTTCATGCTAAGGTATAAAATCTATCTTAAAAGCCTAAGGGGGTAGAGCATGCAGGGTTTTCTTTTCCTTTCTGTTTTTGGAGTCCTTTGCATGCTAATTTGAATCTGCTTATTTGACTGGCGCAGCTCTATGGAGCCCTGGCATATGTGAGGAAGGAAAAAGTTAGAGGGCTAGGAAATTCATCTGGATGGTAGAATTCATTTCTACTATTTATGGTTCTTGTGCCATATTCTAATTAACCATGATTTCCTAATGCAGTTCTGAGTCAGGGAGAAGTAGCTGGTTCAACATTTAATTCAAAAAAACAGAAGTTTTAATTCTGCTGAGTGTTCTTCAAAAAGTTGAGGAATATCTGCAGTGAAAAAAGAAGACCTCAAAACCCACATGCTGAAATAAATGATTTAGTTATTTTTTTCCTTTGATGGTAGGTTGTTAGAATGGAATGTTATCTACAATTCTAGAGAAGGTTAAGAAGACAAAAACTAGTGAAGAAAAAGGGTCTGTAACACTTTAGATATGCTTTTTATTCACCTGGGGAATATTCAGGAGATGCTAAATGCTTGATATCCATAGATGGTTAGAGGAAAGGACACTGTCTTAGAGCTTTCATTCCATCTAGTGGATAAACAGAGACCTAAATAGATGGTCATACAATGAAACGCTTGCTGCAGTTACAGGATGTAACGAGAGCCTAAGTAGAAAGAACCGCTGAATTAATTGGCCTATGGAATTGGTGCAAGCTTTCCTAAGGCAAGATGTGTGAAGGGGTGTGCTGTGTAGACAGTGGAGAAGGAAGGCTTTCTAGATAGAGGGAATACCATGTGCAAAACCTCAGAGGGTTTTTTTTTTTTTAAATTAGCACACACACAAAAAAGCATTGAAAACAAGAATGTTAGTGATCTGTCCCAACATGATACCTGTGTAAATACCACCCAGGTCAAGAAGTAGGACATTGCCAGCAGCCCAGAAGCCCCTTCCAAACCCTCTGCTATGCCCTAATCACTCCCTTCCCTACCAAAGATAATCAGGCTCCTGAATTTGTGGGATCCACTAAAGTTTAGGTTTGCCTGTTTTTGAACTTCATATAAATGAAAGGAGACAATATATCATACTTTCTTTCTGGTTTCTTTGTGCAATGCTATATTATTAAATGTCATTCACATTGCATGTAGTATCGGCTCATTTTCAATGCTGTTTATTTCCTTTTGGATCAATATACTACAAATTTATTTACTGGTGGACATCTGAGTGGCTTTCCAGTTAGGACCTATTGTAAAAAAATGCTTCTCTGAAATGTGCCTTTACCAATCTCTTGATGTACATGTGCATATATTTCTATAATTTAGAGTGCTAGGAGGGGAAGCATGGTCTTTTTAAAGTTAGAGACCTACTTTGTTTCATTATCCAGTAATGCCAGGGATTATAACTTCTCTTTCTTCATGCCATTGTTGTTTATAGATGTGTGTGATCATTGGCTGTGAATATTTTGAATTTCTTTGGTTTCAGTCACTACCAATTTCTAAATTCCCTTTAAATATTGCCCCTAGTTGACAGAGGAAGGAGAGTTGTGATCCTCTGCCAACCATTCCATTGCACGGACATTATCTCCAATGTACATAAACACATAGGCCTTTGAAGATAATGTTCCAGTGCTGAAATTTTCCTCAAGTGGAGGAGGGAAGTAGGAGTGTTTTGGAGATAATGGCGATAAAAGAGAACATTGTTTTCTAATTGCTGAGGCAGTTCTGGTAAATAAAGGAAGCCTCTGATATTCTTCCTCTCCTTCCCTCTCAAATAGGAGATAATAAATCGAGACATTCTTTATTTGATTCTTTCTGCCGTATCCAGGGATATAAATAGAGCTACAAAGCATTGTCTTCCAAAGAGTAGCTAATCCACACGGGCAGCTGTGGAATTTATAAGGGTGTAGGCATGCTTCAGTTAATTTTTATCTGTGACTATCCAGCCATCTGTCTGGCACAGATTACATTTGGCATTTTTTTCTAGAGTAGGAAGTTGACATTTTTCTTTTCATGTTTTGCACCAAGAGTCTTAAGGCCAATTTTCTGGCTTTTTAAAAAATTGTCCTTTTTCTTTGATTGCTTTTAGCCACAAGCTTGAGCAAGTTTCTCGGATATTTACTATCGGAAAGGATGGCATTTTCAAATACATTGCTTTCAACAAATAGACATATACTGTGTAACGTTTAAAATGTGTTGGGTAGTGATTCTACAGCTTTGATATAAGAATGTTAAGAAACCTCTAATGCAGCAATTCACAGCCTTACTTGCACACCTGGAGAGTTAAAAAAATCCTGAGCCTGGGGCCCACCTTAGATCACTATATTAGGGAGAAGGATAGGACCCCTCAGGCGATTGAAGTTTGATAATTAACACTCTAACCTCTAATCTCTAATTTTGAGGGTTCTCAAAGTATGATGCCCTGACCAGCAGCATTGGCATCAAGTGGGAACCTGTTAGAAATGCAAATTCTCTAGTCCTACTTCAGACACTCAGAGGGTGGGGCCCAGCAATCTCATTTCCAGGTGATTCCGATGTTTGCCAAAGGTGGGAACCACTGCTCAAATTCAGTGGTTCTCAAGGCCAGCTGTACATTCAAATCACCGGGGAACTTTAAAACCATGCAAATACTGGGCCCAACCTTTGGCTGTTACAATTGTCTTCATTTGGGATGGTGTCTGAGCATTGATATATTTCTCAGGCTTCCCAGGTTGATTCTATTATGCCGTTAGTTTTTTGAGAACATTGTAGAGAGGATAGTTTAAAAGAAAGCAGGTGATAAATCCTTTTAACAGATAGCAAATATATGGATTTATGGCCAGAATGAGTAAGAAGGGTGTGTATTGAGGAAGGAAGTCAGTGATTAAGTGAAATCACAGTCAATCAGTGTTTCACCTGTTCGACAAACAAGTATTTAAAGTGCTAGACAAACAAGTATTTAAAAACCAGGTGTATTTCCTTCTATGATGTTGGTTACTTCAGTTAAGGTTTGGAATTGCAATCTTATGGAAAAAGGCTTAGGGATTGGTAAAAATGAAACATGAGACTCAAACAGCACCCTGTCATAACATCTGTGTCAGGGATTTGGGTCAATACCATGACAGATAATCAAAAGCACATTCTCTTTCTCTTTCTAGGCAAGCTTGGGCTTTAGTTGGTGTCGTTGCCGGTGGAAGCACTTCTTGCAATGAATCTGTGAGAAACTATGAAAATCATAGCAGTGGCGGGAAGGCTCTTGCCCAAAGAGAATTTTATACCGTGGATGGGCAGAAGTTCTCTGTGACAGCTTACAGTGAGTGGATTGAAGGTAGGCAAGTACAGTTTATATTCTTGTAAGACATTGGTAAGTATTGTGACAGATTTTAAAAAAGTAGTATTGTGTTCAAATGACAGTCTATCTGGTTAGATTTCTCAACTAGTTGAAATTGAAACTTATAGTTTCCCCACTGTGCTTAGTCTTTTAGAACAAAGTTGAGTTGCGGGCAGGGGGTGTCTCCAAACTACAATAGATCATTCTAGTCTAGAAAGCAACCTTCTGGGTTTGTGCTGAGGAGGTGGTGTCTATCTATTAGGGATGAGGAAGCTGGAAACTAGCCCCAGCTTTCTGCCTCCAAGATGACTGCTGCTTCCCTGCCTCTGCCAAAATGCATAGGCGGGTGAGAAGCATTTCTTATCCGGAATTTGGTCCTGTAAGTGGGGATTAGTGATAATGCCTTCAGTAAGATTCTAGAGAGAGGATAATTGCGGACAGACCTGGGTCAATATTTCCTTTGTAGGAAATGTTGTCTTCATTTCCACATTACTGACAACTACTCATTTCTGGAAGAGGGTACATTCTAGCTATCTATCATAGGATATTGTTCGTGTCTCCTGTTCTCAGTGACTCTTACTTTCTGGAAGAGGTGGAACTTCTCTCCAGGAAGCAGGGAGAATGAACTTACTTCCTTTCCTGCTTCCAATTCAGTAGTGCTAATTGGAGATAATCTTAGGCAGGATTTTCTTTTCTTTTTTTTTTGAGACAGAATCTCACTCTTTTTGCCCGGGCTAGAGTGAGTGCCGTGGCGTCATCCTAGCTCACAGCAACCTCAAACTCCTGGGCTCAAGCAATCCTCCTGCCTCAGCCTCCCGAGTAGCTGGGACTACAGGCATGCGCCACCATGCCCGGCTAATTTTTTTTCTATATATTTTTAGTTGTCCGATTAATTTCTTTCTATTTTTTTTTTAGTAGAGACAGGGTCTCGCTCTTGCTTAGGCTGGTTTTGAACTCCTGAGCTCAAATGATCCGCCCGCCTCGGCCTCCCAGAATGCTAGGATTACAGGCGTGAGCCACCGCGCCCGGCCTTTTCTTTTCTTTTTTTACTACCCTCCCCCAGGCCCCACAACCTTGCCCCCTCGAGGGGCAGGCACTCACAGTCCAGCAGCGAGTGGAAAGATTTTCTTTTAAAACCAGAAAAAGTGAGGAATTATTGAATAGTACAAATCTTTGCCTTCTAATCTTCTGGCTTTTTTTTTTGAACAGAAAGAAACAAATTCTAATGATCTTTCAAGTCAGAACATTTATCTAGTAGTCATCTTTTAAAAAAAAATTACTGAAATTTTATATGAAAAAAATGAATGATTCTTTTTTTTTATTTCAGCATATTATAGGGGTACAGATGTTTAGGTTACGTACGTTGCCCTTGCCCCCCCCCCCAAAATGAATGGTTCTTAGCTGCTCTTTTTGGGGGAAGTGTTTTTCATTTTTGGTAAAAATCTGAAATTTTGGTTAGTGATTGTCGTTGCTGCCATGACGTTTTTTTTATTATCTTTGTTCTTAACTTACTTGTTTTGCTTCTTAGGAAGGCAGTATATTTAGGGGTTAAGAAATTGGTCTCTGGAATTAGATTGGCATTCAGCTCTGGGCTCTACCAATTTTTAGCTATTTAACTCCCAGACCTGTGGTTTCTTCATCTCTAATGAATATAATAGTTGGTATCTCTCACAGTTGTTCTGATGAAAGGTTGTCCATGTGAAGCCCCAAGGACTGTTAGCTATTGTTAACATTAATTATTAATATTATTATTTGGATAAGATTTCATTATCGGCTGTAGAATCTGGATAGAAGAAACATATAAAAAAATACTTTAGAATTTTTTAGGTACACTTACTTTTGTGCTTTGTAGAAATAGTAAAGCAGGGTAGATCAGAGTCTAAAAGAACAGAATCCAAGACTTGCCCATGTTAAGTTTTATCTGGATAGTGGGTTCAAGACTGTAAGAGTATCTATACTGTTCCTCGTTCCTTGCCTGAATTTCCCTCCTTTTGATTCTCCTAAGTAAAGGTGTTCTTTCACTCATATCATCATCCTTTAGAGCCAGCATCTTAAAGTGGCCCCAGAGTAGTATGCCAGTGATTAGAAGGATGGTGGAGAAGTACAGATATTTATTAAACAGTTATCTTTGAGATGTGGTGTTTTTCCTCCCCCATCGATGTTATGAAGTAGCTTCCATCTCTTCTATACATGTTTCCGTTAAATCAGCTTTTGGCTTGTGACATTATATCATGGTTGTTAGAGAAGCAGGAAATATTTCTATGCTGGGTTGCATGTGTTAGTAAAAGAAATATAAGTTGTGGAGAAGTTAGATCAGCTTTCCATTTCAGTTCTTGTCTGCCTAATTGGGAACCAACTTTGAGTTTCAAAGGAAATATTAGGAGAAATCAGTAATTAGTAGTTCTCACATTGCATAATTTACATCATCCCAGGAAAGGAGCTGAGTTGGACAGGGGCAGTGTCATGTGACCTTAGGTGACACAGCAGAGCATACTGGCCATACTCACCCAGTCAGCAGATATCCATGGAACTGTACTACAGACAGAGTAGTGAATACATAAATGGATGCACTATGCTGCCTTCCCTGCTGCAACTTCTAAGGAGGTGAGCTAGTCTCCCTTTAGGAAGGTATGAACAACACCAGAGAGGATAGATACCATGAGAATACCAGAGAGAGAGGTTGCTTCCAGCAAGGAAATTTGGGATGTCTTTAAAGATTCACCTGAACTTTATAAAAAGGTATCTTGGTTGGTGAAGAAGAAAGGAGGGACATTCTAGGTAAGGATAAAGCATGAGCAAAGGCACAGAAATGAGGGATTTTCTGTGATAAACTTTTATTCTTAATATTAAGATTGGCTGTGCACTAATATCCTGTCTCTTGTTCTGTGCTTTGGATCAAAAGCATTGATATTTATTACAGACCTGTTCTGTGCTTGGTAACTTCTACCTGAGTATATTCTTGTCACAAATTAAGATGGTTTGAGGGCAGTAATGCAGTTTTAGCACTGAGTTGAAATATAGCAAGAGATCTGGGGATTGAGAGTCTCCTTCAAAATTATAAAAGAATAATTTCCTAAAGTGACATCGTGTGTCCCATCATGGCTAGGCTAGAGATGTATGGGACACTCTTCATTTTGAGGGCAGGGATCTGTATTTTTATCATTTGTATCTGCAGAGTGGCTGATACACAATTGGTATTAGTAAAGGTAAAAGTTTACTGAATTGTGGTTATCTTATCTTTTGATTTGTGAATCAGTGAGAGGGTTGAATTTAGAAGGAAAAAATTACTGTTAATGCATCACTTTTTTTTTTTTTTTTTGGTTTAGGCGTTTCTCTTTCAGGTTTCCGGGTAGAGGTTGTGGATGGAGTGAAGCTTCATTTGCTGGATGATGTTACTAGCTGGAAACCCAGAGACCAGATTGTGATCGCAAGCACAGACTATTCTATGTACCAGGCAGAGGAATTCACTCTTCTTCCATGTCCTGAATGCAGCCGTTTTCAGATCAAAGTCAAAGGTATCAGACTGCTCAGAGTACTTCTCGGGAAACACATTCTTTTCTTGGGATTTGATTCCTGGAATCTTTTTTTTTCCCAGTTACCACCACCACCACCATCATCATCATTAATATTGAAGATTATAGTAGTGGACTGCGTTGAACACTAGATTTCAGAGTTATTGAGCAATATTTTTGCTGTTAATGATACATGGCAGGCCGCATCACTGTTTCTTTGCTTCAGTTTCTTTGTTGAAAAAAAAGATGTGGACTAGATGGATTGATTTTCCAAAGTCTTTTCTAGTTTTTTCCTTATTTTTCTACTATCAGATAATGGTAAACCCAACTATCAACTAGATCCATTTTTTAGTAGAAGTTT